TTCCTTCCTTCCTTCCTTCCTTTCTTCCCCTCCCTCCCCTCTCCTTCTTTCGTTTTTGTCTGTCCTTTGTCCCAGTCTCTTAATTTCTTTCAATATATAGCAAACAAAACATTGTCATTCTTCACTGACCTCTTGTTTATCATCTGTCCCTGACCATCCCGTTGACCTGGTTCGAGTTCTAGATCTATTCCTGGCGGCCCAGAAGCACTCTGATTGGATGATATTGACACTGAGGTAAGGTCTCTCCTCTGGGCACAGCATGTTGCAAATAAACCTGAAAAAGACCAAGATTATGTAGCAATACATACTACAATAAGTATTGTGATGCGACATGAAAATACAAAAGAGATCACACTTTTTCTCGATGGAATTTGTGGCATTTCTTTTGTTTTTTCATGTTAGCATCGCATTCAAGACAACTTTAAGAATGTTCCACAAATCCGTTCTGCACTAGACCAAAGGAAATACGGTCTACGATAGATAAGATTTTTCTGTGACCACGGCGTTACTACAAAGTGTAATTTAAATTTATTTACCTAGCAATGATAACGTCACGTAACCTTCAGCGTCGAAGATCAAGTGTCGTTAGTGTTATTTTAGGGCTGGGATCCCGCTCTATTCGACGGCTAATTGTTATGTCAGCGATGTTTACGGAGATCGCTTTAACCTTAAGCGTCGATGCACTTTGATGGTAATAGCTGTTTAGAGAGGGAATAACTTGTTCTTTAACTTCCTTTGTGATTTTCCACGTGCGAGTTTGCATGTACCTTAAATTGATTAGTTTAAACCTCCCGGAACGTGATCGCGTATGAATTTTGGAAATGATTCAGAAAACACCACAGAAAAGGTTGAATAATGAGAGCGTAGTACCCACTTAATACAATCCAAATAGGACAGTTAAAGTTTTCTGTATTTGTAATATAAAATGATATGGTCTTCTTTCAGTTTTACATTTACAAATATTGGATTTCAGAGCGTGATTTGAATGAGAGAAAATAAAAAAGATACGCCAACTAAATTCATATAGCTTTGTATACCACGATGGTTGTACATGTAATATAATCAAGCGTTGAGTTGTAGAATGGAAAACTATTTTGATGTTATTAGGCATATAGTGTCCGAAAACCGCTCAATTTATACTACTCTTCAAAAAAAGCTAATCTCATTGAGTATCAGTGTTGACTCTCAAATATAAGGCTACGTAATAATAAATGGAATTGCAAAGCATGAGAAAGATTGCAGGTATCGCGCAAACTTTAATTTACTCTGAAAGGTGTGGCTTCTCATATATAAGTAGGCTAGGCATCCTATAGCTTAAAGTTTGAAGCAAGATGGCAATTTAAAATCTACGCTCTGAGTTTGTGCTTTATTTGGTAAATGACCCATTCATTCAGTCAAGAGGTTTACGGCATGAAATAGTTTTAACATTAAACTACTCTTAGAAGTCGGTCATGGTGAACTGAACATGTTCGTTTTAAGTCGCGCACTTGGTTTAAAGCCGACATGAAGAATTCCTAACAACTGACTTACCTGAAAGACGATGTATAGGATCGTTACAGCACAAGAATGATTTACTAGTAAGGAATCAAATTCCTTGATGTTTTGTTTGGTTCCCAGGACCGTAGTGAATGTGTTCTGATACCGACGCGCCAATGTTAAATAACCGTAAACGCCACTACCTTTGCCACGCCTACCATTGTATTGGTTGCGTTCGTACAATCAGTATTGCATTACATCGTGTTTTAATGGATGGCATTTCCACCGAAAATTGCTTTTTGACCCTCTTTTGTTAGGTTAGGTTTTGTTTAATTGCTTGGAAGACCAATCATTTGCCATTTTAACCCTATGAAATATATTCAGTGTGAAAACAGACAAAAACTTGTTATCAATTGTCGACACAACTGCAAGTACAGCAGTGATGCAGCTTAACGGGTCGAACTGAAAGCATGAAACTTGTTGCAAACAGTTAAAATCGCTCTCATCTTTTGTGTTTGAAATTGCTACTAGCAGGGGAAAAAGGTTGCTTCTAGCGGCTTCCTACCTAGGCCATTGCAAGTTCAATCGACATTACTTTGTTGTCTTTAGATGCGTAGCAGAAGGAGGAGGCGGTGCAGATATTGATACAATGTATATATTTTCAGTACTTTTGCTACAATCTTAAACCTTCGTAAAAGCGGTATAGCCATACGATTAACTAATATTACATAACGACAAAACTGCTCGGTAAAACGACTTCGAGTTTTTACTTTTTATATTGATATCATTTGGCTAATGATATTCTTGCCTCATTGCGTGTTGACTAAATGCGTTTGTTTATCAAGCGTATTTTCCGGATGTTTTTGCTTCCCACTCATATAGCTTGAGAGCTCGAGAGGTCACGCCAACATACAGTTCTATCGTATTCACTTAGATCGCGTGAACCATTTCTTCGATTTGAATCCAGGGGTGGAGATAAAGGAGTACAGCCATGCAGGCCCCCAATTTCTCAGGCATATAGAGCATGATGATTTTATGTACGCCAATTAAAATGATCCTGGACGTTTACGAAGGATTGACTAATCACAGTCAGTAATACAAAATGTTGTTGCACCAGGATGGATTACCTGGCTGTTATTTATTACCATCCCAACCAGACAATTCCCGTAAAGAGGAGGGGGCTATACTATATGTAGAGATGGAACCCGTCTGGGAAGAAAATATCCTTACGCTCCCCCTCTTATCTTACATCCATTGAATCATGCAGTATTTACGGTTCGCCATGACCTGCCAGTTGGCAGACGATCGAAGTTTTTGGTGTGTATACTCAAATGCTTAACTATTATACCTAAACCAATCAGTCGACGCTGGAATAACGAGCGCTTTTTGGTTCAACTTCCTGATGTCCCGACGCAAATGACAGCGACGCTTAACTTCGCATGAAACTGTGGCTAACAAATGACTTCCGTCCCAGACCAATAATAAATTTCAAACTAGCCACTGATCAACCCACATTGGTTCATTTACAGCTAAACATCGACACTTGACGTAGACCTTATTTTCTTTACCCCCAAGTGATTTACATGCAGTTCCTTCTTCACCACAGCTCTGACTCTTGGACATCGCGTTTATCTTTAGCTTATTGCAGTTTACGAGGTGCTAAACGTTATCTTAACCTTGGTGGACTTGTAGACATGGATACCACATGGAAGGCTGGGGATTTTAATAACATGAAGTTGCAGTACACATGTATAAACACAGCCAAAGGCATAGAGAGAATTGATTTGACAATCGATTTGATCTCTGATGTCATCAATACACGCACATAACGATATATATGACTTCACTGAGTAGACATCGATACCACCGCATGTATATACAGTAGTACACGTGTATAAACACAGCAGGATGATATATAGAGGTCAAGATTAATTTAGAATCAATATCAGGGGCAGAGCAGAATTTTATAAGATGGGGTAACTGTTACAGGGTACCTCGCACGACAAAATTATTTCAACTGATATACTGTGAAACGAATAGATGGACGAATGGATTGTGCAAAAGGACTGATTGAATTAGATGGATGGAAGAATGAGCGAATGGATGAATGGATGGGACAGGATAGATGGAGGGATAAGTAAAAGTATGGGTGCTTTATGAATTTACTTTGGGCTCCCTGTGGCGTTTTCCACCATTTTTCCTTTGTCTCCGCTGTCCCTATGTACAGTTGTCTCATATCCAGCATGGCGTCTTCATATTCAAACACCTCACCTTGGAAACCATTTCTTTTCCTTCTTTCTCTTCTCCTTTCAGGTAATTATTGAAAAATATTTATCATTTCTTACTTTTACGTACATTTTATCCATTGCTATATTTAAATTCTTATTCTGAGAGCTTTATTTTGAATTATTCGGGTTTTCAATTTTTCCGTTATTGTTTATTTGTTGACATGATAATAATTATGGCTTCTAGCGTTTCGTTCGCTTGAATAAGCATTTTTGTCGCTGTGGAATAAAGAATTTAAATGAGTTTTGCATTAAACACTTTTATTCATTAAAAATGTAATTTAGTTGCAAATATTTTCAACATTTTTTACCTTCTACGCATCCAAAAACGGAGGTGTGAGAGGGTTTTCTTACATTCTTTAGAACTTTTGGATGGCTTTCAAACGCTTTATGGCTTACCAATACCAGTGGGAATAATGGACGTTTTCAAAACATGACTTAATTCCATAAGATAGAAGAATATTCCCCCCCCCCCCCCCCCCCNCCCCCCCCCCCCCCCCTTTCTGACAAATATTGATATTGGCTTGATTTTAACTGTTCTGAGAAGTTTAGTTTATTTGAACCTTGCGTTCCATGAATCATGCTTTTGGTGTACTGAAATATGAGCATTAGTTAATAATTTATTCCTGTGTCTGTGCATAGTAAATAATTAGTTAACTATGGTTTGTGATATCCTTTTTGGGATAAGAACTCATTTTTTAAATAAAAGGGGAAAAAAACTGTAACTTTGAATTTAATCAGTTGTAGGTAAAAGAGTTAAAAATACATCCATTATTATAGTTTTTGTAATGGGAAATTATATATTTCTCATTACAAAAAATTATTCATACATATAAGTGGAACTCTTATCATTGATGGTTTCATTGTTGGGAAATGCTAAAAAAAGTCACATGGATGTTTATTGTTTTAAAAAGTTTTATTTTCTGTGACTAAGTATTAATCAAATAATCAATATATATATCTTTTTTATAAACAGCATAAAATAATTTTTCTGATGTCACTCTAGTTTCAGATGCAACAGACTCTCTCCCTTTCATCAATGCTACATCAGTAGATGTGGGCTTCCTGTGGGAGCATCCTAGACAAGAGAACCATCACTCAACTCGTGTTATAATAGCTGATAATCACCTTAAAAGTGTCTTAAGCCTTATCTGCTTTATTTCGCCACCTCTACCCCACACACCTGAGTACGAAGACAAAAAGAATGAACTAGTTAGATGGGAAAAGATTACGACAAGGGGTGCAGAGGCTGTCAATAATGTTCGGTATTGGGCAAGTGATAGGACAACAGTTGCTATTAAGTACGACAATATTACCTCAGATGTAATTGGCAGCTATACATGCTCTTATGGACAGTTATCAAAATTAATTAATGTTAATGGTAAGTTTCTATTTGTTCGGTTTTTAGCTTAATTTGAGATGGGCCAGAAGGAGGAATGGATATAATATGAACTTCATTAATTCAGTAATTACATGTTACATGTTTAAATAAACTACTGTCTATTTAAATTATTGGATAGAGAAAGGGGAGTTACACTACATTTATATATAGTATGTGATTATGGGCAATTACGGCTTATGAAAGGAAAGCCTAAACAAATGCATGACAACCATATTAATAAAACCAAACAATTTGGTTGTTGCTTTGTTTTGGATTAAACCAGGAACACTATACAGGTAAGCTGTACTGTATTTTGATATGCATCAATTGCAAACCTTCCAATTCTATTGATACCCTGTAACAACCTCTGGGCTGATTAATTTATTGGCAGTTGAGTCTGTTATTAATAACCATATTTATTGTTGTTGTAGTTGCCAACGTTGACATAGTAAAGGCATTGAAGATGCCAACAATGTATGAAGAAGTCAAGAATTATGCAACCCACATGGAAGATACAACAGGGATTGCAGGCTGGAATAACGACAAGTCTCTTTCCCAGGTAAGTCATTGATTGTCTGTGAATTTACCTTAAAAGGTTGATCAGAATTATTAATTAATAAATATGATTTGAACTGTGCTATACACCGTACTGTAAACACTTCTACAAGTTTTTGATTTTTTTGGACATTTTTTGACAAGTTTTAATGGAAGGTGCTGTTTACTGCTTATCAATTATGTATTAGCACTTGGCTTTAATGTTTCAACATTGTTACATTGGTATAAAAACTTTGCATATCTATGCCAACTTCTAAATGGCTAGTGATAAAGAGCTTGTCAAAAAGATGTCAAAGAAAATAAACTTGTAGAAGTGTTCACAGTTTGGCATGTAGCACAGTAGCCTGCGTAGCAGCCCAAAATGGGGGGAAGGGGTGGGGGCCTGTGGAGGAGGGACAAGGAGGGAAGGGGTGGGACCCTTTGGAGAAGGGGGGGAGGGCAGGCTAGTAGCACAGTAACAATATACCTTAAAGTTTATGATGTAACTATGTTTTTTGTACATTCAAGAATATATAATTTAGATAATTTTGTAATGTTTAATTTACAGAGTAAAGGGTCAAGTCTCTCATGTAAACATGCAGCTGTGATTAAATCCAAGGATTCTCCTGCAACAAGTAAGCATTGTTTTTGAGTTCATCTTCAATTCATTAAATGAACTGTCAATAATTGAAATAAAGTGCTTGGGATAATGTCATGAGTTATGCCCATGCAGTATGTATTTTTATTATTTTTTAATTGTATTTACATACAACATGTAGGGGAAAACAATTGAACTTGTAAAACAATTCATACAGTAAACGTGGGTCCTAACTGCAATTTCAAAAATATTTAATTCTATCTTTCATTTAATGAATTTCATTTTCTTGCCTATACACAGTCCATACTGTTCGGCCTGCGGACATCACAGTTATTGCTGCAGTAGGCGATGGTTTCACAGTAAGTCATAATTTTTGTTTTATTATATATTGAATGAAAATAAACAGGCAAATATGCATACAAGTTAGTTAATCTACTTATTATAAAATAGCATGAAAAGTATAACACATTTGTTTCAATTTCAACCACAAGAAGAAAAAACTAATTGAAATAAAGAAATGGAGAAGAAAAGAAGGGAGAGAAGGAGAGAGAGATAAATGAAATAGAAATGAGAGGAAAGTTACTGTCTAGTGTCAATAGAGAAATTACTCCACTATGATCAGATGGTATCGCTCTCTTTGAACTGATTGTGTTAACCAATTAGTACAAAGATGTGTTTATCAATATTACTGAGTATTCTGTCATAAATCTCTGTGTAGACTGGGCTTGGTGCTAGAGCTACTTCATGGAACGGATTTTTCACTGAATACAGAGAAACATCATGGAGTATTGGAGGAGAAGGACATCTTAACCAAACTACAACTTTGCCAAGTAAGTCAAGATTAAAAACATGAAATTATGCCATTAAAAATTTACAGTGTCAAAATATAATTATTACATCGATGCTTAATATTATAAAATTATTGTTAGTTAAATATTCTCATAGACTTGATGATGGTTTGCTATCTTGTATATCTTACCAAGAATAATGCCAGAATCATCTTAATAAATTTTTTAAAATTTCTAAAAATATTTTGTCTCAATTTTCTCAGATATTTTCAGAGAATTTAATCCTGGATTGAAAGGCTATTCTACACAAGCTATGAACAGTTTGGAGTTGAACATGGCTACCTCTTTTTCCTCTTCATGGTACGTCTTAAATGTTGTTTAGTTTCTGCCTGTTGAGTACAGCCAAGCCTCTAGTACCAGAGAATACTTTGTTTTAATAATAAATATTTTTAAAATATTTTTTCAATGATCTTTTTTTTCACCCTTTAGGGATCTTGAAAAACAAGTCAACCAGTTGATTACAACAATGCAGAGCAACAAGGTACATTTAAGTGGCTTTTAGAATTACTACTACTATCATTGAAGTGCGACCTCCAAAGTTTGATGTCTTGTTTGCCAACTAGCATTTCATCGACAGTCAATCAAAGAAATAAATAATAGTAATAGAATATATTGAGGGAGATTTTGGATTGAATTAAATATTTTAATAGATGATTAATTGATGATTAATTGACCTTAAAATGCTTCTCACTTGAATATTAATTCAAGTCGAAGATGTCGAAACGTTGTAATTTAGTAGTGTTCATATTCATTTTTAATAGATTAATTAATTATCTTCAAAATGAATGCTGGTACCCCCATTTTTGGCTCTTAGATACAAGGTGACCAGTATTGATTATCTCAACACAGAGCAGTCGTTTTCATTGTCTAAAATTCAATGGCATATTTCCTTTAGATTTGATGGGGAGTTTCTGTAGATTTGGTGGTTACATTTTTGCCAACATATAATGCATGCTCCCTCCTGCCATGCAGGACTTGAATGATTATGTGGAACAAGGTGAATTATGTGGATCTGCATCTGCGCATTCTGTCAGAAGTCCTGTATATGTATCTTGTAAGGGACCAGTTGTCAATTGGGACTCTTTTTAGCACCTTCTATCACATGCTCGTCTTTTCGTTCCTTTTTTGTACTGTGTTGTCAGATTGTGATTTCTATTACAGCCTGTATGTGTAATGCTCTGTGTGTTTTCAATAAAATATAAAATATAAATATGCAATTATGATAAATATACATTCATGTAATTTGTATTATTCAGGAAATTGATTTCAAGAATGATTGGAAGGTGCTGACTATATCTACAGGTGTAACAGACCTCTGCCACATCTGTAAAGACCCAGTAAGTATACACTCACTTAATTCCTTTTTTAAATTTAATGAAAAAGCCTCTTCTGAGCCTTTCAATGCATTGCTATCAGGCCTTGAACTTATCCTCTTTTTATCCACTATCAAACATTTGAATTTCCGTTTCTCAACAAAAAAAAATTGGTTGACCAGACCCGGGACATTTACTTGCTAGTTGAGCACTAGTGCTCATTTTGAGCCCTGCAGCTTTATACGTATGTACATGAAAAAATTATTTAGACGATTCTAAGAACAAAATGGCTTGCTGGCTGACTGACTAAGCTGATGTGTGGGTACAGTAGATAAATGGACAGACGGACAAATGGATGGATGGAAGGATGAGAGGATGAATACAATAATAAGTAATGTATGGAAGGAAGGACAAATCAGTGGTAGATGGTGGCATGGTTGAACAGATGACAGACATGTAAAACATATAAAAACCTGATTTTCAATCTTTACCTGGCTAAACTTGATGTTTTGTTTGTTTGTTTGTTTGTGATAACCAGGACAGATTCAGTGGAAGCCACTACATCAAGAATGTGATGCATTCACTAAATATTCTCAAAAATAAGGTACATCTATAAAAAATAATTTAAAAAAAACGTGTCATAGTTTATAACTACCACAAAGTACAGCAGTGGCGCAGCTCAACAGGGTCGAACTGAAAGCATGTGAAGGCACCTCTGACAGCGGCTATACAGTCCATGTATGACCCTGGAATTAGTTAGGGTTGGTTTGAGAGGAGGGAGGAAAAACCAGAGAGCTGGAAAAACCCTCGGAGTCAAAGGGAGAACCAACCAACTATCTTGGGTATAGATGCAAATCATCAATATTATTGATAAAGTAATCAAGTTTTCATGGATAGCTTATTATATATTGTTAACTTAAAATCAGGTTCCCAGATTGTATGTTAACTTGGTACCTCCAATGGATGTCAGTGTTCTGTATGGACTGTATGATAAGAATCCTTCATGCCATATCATGCAGTGGTGAGTAGCAGAAAATGGAGGGGGGGGGGGGGGGTTGAGGGGATCAGGGAGAGCCCCCTTCTCTCTTTCACATGTCAGTGTTCTGTATAAGCTGTATGATAAGAATCCTTCATGCCATATCATGCAGTGGTGAGTAGCAGAGAAGTTTCTAATCAGGGACCACAGCTCTAGGGGGAGAACCATCCCCCCCATTCTTTTTTTTCTATCACATGCTAGTCTCTAATATTTTCCAATCTTAGCCCTTTCGTTTTTAGGGGTGCTCCGCAAGCCTAGCTAGAGTGCTCCGCAGCATGTGTTAAGAGCCAACAAACCTCTTTATTGTACATTGTACCTTGGAAGTAATGTTTTGCCCATTTCATAGCATACTTCATTCCCTGGAATGTGATTTCTCAAACAAAGAATCTTATTCTCAAGAAAATGACACATGGTCTGAAATGGGAAAGCATTACCTCTAAATCACTGTACATTGCACCATACATGTAGATGTTTTCTGTTAGGTTTCTTTCTTTTATTTCTTGTTGTTTTCTCTTCTTACCTGCCCTGCTTGCTTGAATATATGCTATTTTTCACTGTTTCACCCACATTTTCCTCCCTTCCTTTATATCTTATTTTATATCAAAGGAGCGCTTGTCCTTGTGCTGCAAGACAAGACAAAGCTGCAAACAATGTTGTTTCTAAAGCTGCCAAGAAGTTCACAGTAAGTTCATCACATTTGCCTTAGCCTTTCCTTCAGCCAATGAAACACTTTCTCACAAACCCAGGGTTAGGCACACTCTGGTATACATGTAGTTAATTCAAGCAACAGTTCACTTGAAATTTGAGGATGGTTTGTAAAACATTAGTCTCCTACTGTACACAACGACAGGGTGTCACGCAACGCTTTCTCTCGGTTTTCTCAGGGAAAAAGAGCGTTGCGTGACGTCTTTAAAAATAGCTGCGTTTTAAAGTTAGCAAAAACCAAACTAACAGGATTAGAGTTTATTGCGATGGCTGTGAACGGCGTGACACATTGTATTATTAAAGTACAGGAATGGCGACGTCCTCTAAGCTTTACGCGCGCGAGATCACTACTTATGGAAGCAAGAGTTTTAGTTCACACATCCAAAGTACAGTATGTACAGTCTTATCCTCCAATGTATTCTCTTTGCTGTTTTTTGGTAATTTGTTTTGCTTTGTTTTATTTTGCTGTTTAGTCATTGCTGGAGGAACTGGTCAACAGTGGTATCTATGATCTGACAGATCAATTTACTGTGGTTATTCAACCATTCATGAAAGGTGGACCAAAAGACAAGGTACCTTGTACAAATCCAGTGACACTACATTACTAGTTTTGTTATCACACAAACGAGTAAATTACCCATAATCGCAGACTGCTTTATTTAGATGCTTCGTTTCATAAATTTTATTTCAAGTTTTGATTTATTTATTTTCAATTAATAGCTTTTTGCAGTGCTCCACATTTGCAATTTGACATTTCTTGGCTAGTTCAATAAACTACTTTGACGATACGGCGGCCATCTTGCATCGCAAGGCATTATGGGGCATCTAAGGGACAAATAAAGCTTTGTTACAGTAATGACGTCCATTGATGTTAACGGCTGACAACGAGAAAATATAACAAAAAAAATAAACTGAGACGGTACATCGATCACCTTTACCCGTTAAAGAAAAGCAATCACACGAAACTCTATGTATTTTCCGTCATTTTTTTTTTTTTTCTTAGTGAATTACGTGGAGTCAAGAGATCAATGACTACCTTATGGTCATTTGCGTCTAGTCATTCGAACATTTCGCAACTATAAATTACAATGTCGATAGGTGACTTACTGTTACTTTTTTCCTTTTCCAGACTGGAGGATTAGCATCACGGGTGTTTGGACCAGATTGCCTGCACTTCAACACTGAAGGCCATGCTGCAGCAGCTATTGCTTTATGGAACAACATGGTGAGGACGAAAAGAAAAACCCCACAAAATCTGAGAACTATTTCTGATCGATAGACCTCTTTACCTTGGGCGTAATGTTTTCCCATTTTATACAACGTGTCATTGCCTAGAATATCTTATCTTTGCTGGACGGTTGCGCATAATAAAAGACGCAGGAAATAAACGCCCAAGGTAAAACGTTCTTATCTGATATAAAATAACTGAGGAGAAGGTGCTGCCTTTGTAATTACGTTTGCAAATGGTTAGACCTTCAAGTCTTCTTCTCGGATAAGGACTTAAAACCGTAGGCCCCGTCTGTCTTCACTATATAACCCTGTATAAGGCGGACGTAAAAAAACCCACTGAAGACGATGACCATCTTCAGTGCCCGTGCAAACCCTATACAGGACCCACAGTAATTGGTTGTGGTGTCCCTGCCCTCATGGGAAAAAGCTAAATAAATAAATAATTCAAATAGATATTAGTTGGTAAAGTCATATAAGTGATATTAATGTGTTGTTGTCATTAAAGATGGAACCCTTGCACGACAAGAATACAATATGGAATACAGAACAGACACCGAAATGCCCAATGAACGTAAGTATCAATCAAGTATCAATATTTATGAATCAAGACACGAAATAAATCCAAAAATTAAGATGACAATTAAAGTTTCCAATTACTTGTTCTTTTTTCTTTCACTTTTCTTTCACTTTTCACTATCAAGCGAAAAAGACGCCATATAAATAATAAAGTGGCCCCTAAAACAGCTCCACGATGCAACGCCTTCTGCAACTGCGGAATGGCTAAAAATTTCTTCGTTCAACGGTAGCACATAGGATAACATGAAAATATTGGTACACAACTCCAACAAAGGATCTTAAATTTTCCCAAGGAAATAATTACACGTTTAGTCACTGAGGTTACGTACAAGCTTAAATCTGAGTTACATGTATTTATAGCCATGTCCTGACTGAAATCAGCCCAGATGTTGTTTCAGGGTTCGATATATGAGTTAGTCGTGCCCTGACTTTGATCAGCTCAGAGGTCGTTTCAGGGTTCGATCTGTGAGTTAGCCTTACCCTGACTTAGATCAGCCCAGAGGTTGTATCAGGGTTCAATCTGTGAGTTAGCATTGCCCTGACTTAGATCAGCCCAAAAGTTGTTTCAAGGTTCAATCTGTGAGTTAGCATTGCCCTGACTTAGATCAGCTCAGAGGTTGTTTCAGGGTTCCATCTGTGAGTTAGCCATGCCCTGACTTAGATCAGCCCAGAGGTTGTTTCAGGGTTTGATCTGTGAGTTAGCCGTGCCCTGACTTAGATCAGCCCAGAGGTCGTTTCAGAGTAAATTTTATTTTCTAAGTCACTTATATATGAACAGTGTAGCAGTATGGTTGCAGTGTTTTTGTGTGTAGAATTTTCTTTTCAGAGCTATCAATATTTGAAATATCATTTATAAGCCATAAAGCCATTTACTTTAAATATATTTCCCCTCTTTCAGGGTCAACAATATTTATCTACCAAAGTCAACAGCAACGTAGTCACGACCTTTGACAGTGAAGACGACACGTCCACAGATATCCCCCCTGCGGCTGCTATTACTCTCTCTGTTTTCCTAATTGCTGTAGTTCTATCGATAACGTTCTATGTGTGGAGAAGTAGAAAATCAAGACCATACACTGATACTATGAGACTATTAGAATTCCCCTACAAACCGAGATTATAGGATAGAAACGATAGTGTTGACGTCATCAAATAGACAGAGAATGAGATGTGTGTATTGACCCGGCGAAGGTAATAGATCCCTGAATATGGTGCATGCTTTTGAAACTAAGCTACACCGCCAGACGACTACGGTTTTACGGTAAATTTGGGTTGGGAAACAGGATCTTAAACGAGACTGATAGCGGCAATAACGACAATATCAATAGGAATAACATATTTAACAGTAGCAGCGGTATCAACGACAACAAGAACAACAGTAACACAAACAACAACAGTAACACAAACAACAACAACAACATCAAAAACGTGCTAAAACTTGTGAGCACATTTTTAATCATCCTCCAATTGTTTTACATTGTTATTTTTTCCTTTTCTAAACCCTGGGCATTACCAAGGTATCTTCTAGATAATTGAAATCGTTTCACTTGTACCTCTACCGTATTTCTTCTTTCTCTTCGCCCTTCTGGCTTCTCCAGAATAGTGGTAATGAATGACAGGTTTTGGAACATTGTGTTAGTTACTTGTATCTTCGCTTCTTATGGAGCATCACATAAGGCGAGACACCGTTCTCTCGTACCAAATTTTACGTTACATCAAGAGAGCATAAGTATTTGTATTTATGCTCTCTTGTGTATATAGAGTGCAAACAATATAACCGTGAAACTTTAGTAATACTAAATAGCACAATTTCATGCAAATTTCATTTCTTTCTATTGCTTAATTAGCACTTTTGTACTATTTAGTAATTAGTGTTTCACGGATTAGGTCTAATTGTTTGCACCCTACCTACTTGCAAGAACGTTGTCATACGAAAATAGAACAGTGATTTAGTGGGATAGGAATTATATTAAAAAACAAAAAAAGGATCACTGAAGCTGAATTTTTTCCTTTTGTCTTTTAATAAATTCCTTTCTCACTAAATTACTAATGTTCTATCCTTGTATGACAACCTTCTTGCAAGTAGGTGTATATAATAGATATAGATTTTATTGCATAAATGTTAGAAAAACCGCGTGACATTCCTTATTGTTGGAGTGAAAATATGTGCAATTTGTAATAATAAAATTGTGATTTTAATTGTAAATTAAACAAATGATGGCAACTTTATAATTCCTAAAATACCCTTAGAAGAGTACACGCACTAAACCGTGAATAATATTTAGTACTAATTAGTAGTAATTCATACAGAATCCTTTGTTTCTTATTGTTTGATTATCACTATTTAGTACTAAAAATTTGTATTTGTTTCACGGGTTTAGTGCGAACACCTATCTATAGAAATCAAAATAAAATAGATAAACGCTCTGGCAGGTTTCACAGAAATTTGCGCGCGCAACGAATGTTTTTAAAAACTTTTGAAGTAAACAAACAAGCAGACAAACAATCCGCCAACGCTCATTCACTGTAGAAAAGCCGTTGAAATATATCTATGAGATTCAAGCAAAAAAAAAAAAAAAAAAAATAAGAACGCCTAAGCGTTTTCGCTTCACATCGACTCCGTAAAGTTCGATCTATTCCATTCCGGATTTTCCAGAAATCGATACCATCTGCTTCGCAAATAATTCGACTCTTATAAATTAACTGGTTCGCTTCACTTCGCTTCGAAGGAGGAGATCGACATCTTCAAAGACAGAAAGAAGGTATGTAATCTTGTAATTTTCTAACGAAAAGCATTGATTTCATGTGTAGGATATTGTAATGAGGTCTGTTTTTAGACTTTTCCAGTCGTTGCCACCACATAAAAGACGTTGAGAGCTTGCTTTATCGATAAATTTGTGTACTTATTGACCTAATTGATCATAAAAAGTGATGCCATTCACATATCTTTTATGTTTCAAAGCTCATAATTATAACTTTTCGCTTTTTGCTATTAGTTTAGAATGCTACTGAATTGTAAGGGTAAATGTGTTTGAGGTATTCTATGAGGGAGGTAAGGCACGAGGATCTACCGGTCGAATTTAACGACTTGTTTAGTTTCTAATGACCCATATATTCATACTGATCCGTTTTTCACCCCGCTTTAATTTCAGTGATGAGAGAGGCGTCGAAATTGCATTAATCTTGACTATTACTGGCTTCAAAACACAGCAACATGTTACAAGGTATCAGAGATGAGGTTCGTCTACGACATTTTTTTCCTTCGCATGCCGATTTTTCGACATTCACAACTTCAAAGGTATGTACAAGAAATGGCAAGTTACTCGAATCTGCAGTATTCATATCCTTTATCACAACTTTGAACGCTCGCATTTGGCCAAGTTAAAGCTTTAATAATATTCTTTAAATTAGTAATATTTTCTATCATGGAAGAAACTGAACTTATATTAAAATCAGTAGAAAGCAATTATCCACTTAGTTGGTTAAACAAATAAGACTTTGCTCGACTAATTGATTTGGTAGGACTAACCTCTTATCGCAGGGCACACCGACGCTGTCTCTTCCTAGACAAAGTAGCGCCTTCTTTTTAAGCATTTTTTCCAAGTCTAATTTTAAGGGTTTTTTAAGAACCTTCCCGGCAATTTTGCAAATTGCTTCAACCAGCTGGTCGTAACTCCAGCTACTGTATTGTATTAGCATAATGTTGCGTGACGGACTGTTGTCGTGTTTTACAAGATCGAAAAGGTTATTCCGGATGATGGATTTCGGATTTTACGCCTTGGATTATAGCTTATCAAGATTCGAGAATTCTCTTTCATTAAGCTCGATTGCTTGGACAGGACTGCGTGTTAGATGTTGCGCCATCGTGAGTATCAAATGGCTTTTGAGATTGGAGTATAAATGGTTCAAAACCTATTTGAGTGTCATGGTACCGCGCTCTTACAACATGGACATATGAGCAGGGGGGTTGGGATGGATGAAGGTTGAAGGGGGCTATAGGGATTACTGGTCTGCACCCCCTCGACATTTTAACCACCCCCTTTTTTAGTTGCCCACGAGCAGTTTGTTCAGTGATTTTTTTTGTTATTGCAGTGGATATCTCCATCCATCTACCTGGCCTATCGTTGGGTGGTAGCCATCTATATGTCCATAGATCTGATCCTTGATCGGCTTTACTTTGGTAGGTGGTACAGCTCAGCCTTTACTATGTGGGGCCTTATCACTGTCACACTATACTTCGACCTGTCGGCTGTCATGTGTTCAGTCCAGTACTACTTGCAAAAGAACGGCCGATCAAGTGTTGCCATAACGACACCCCCAAACTATAAGGACGCTGATACACTTTATAGTGAATCGGAGAAAGCAAATCAACGCAACGAAGTTCATCCTAGAATGATCTTGTTGCTAAAACTGATGTGGATCCTGTTTAATATTGCTGCTGTCAACTCTATGATAGTTACGATAGGTTACTGGGGACTTCTTCATAGCAAGTTTGGCCAAAAATCCCTCGTTGGTCGTATAGGTTACCATAACATCACAGCACATCTGTTGAATGGCGTCTTGATGCTTCTCGACGTGATGCTGGTACCATTTCCAGTGCGCATCCTACACTGTGTCTACTCCACTATTTATGGATTCTTGTATGTATTTGCTACCTTGATTCACTGGCTGGCCAGCAGGAAGACCAAGAAGTTTTACGACTTTCTTGACTACACAAACAATCCTGGCCTCGCTGCTATCACTGTCTGCATATGTTTCTTCGTCATTCATCCACTTTTTCAATTGTTGCTCTACTTTCTTTATCGATTCCGCGAGTGGCTTCTCACTAAGTGCGTACGACTAAATCCACCCAAAGATACCGTTAAAGAACTTCATTGCGTCGCGTAGCAAGTCCAGTTATTTTACACCATATGACATTGAACATGAATATATCTTTGATCTAGTCATAAATATCCATTCAATATTTACTGAAATGAAATTATCTTAGCTCTATTTGAACGCTCTCCAGCATTCCTCTTTCTCATTGGAGATACATATGATTTATTTGTACGATAGTTTCACCATCAATTGTGCAAGTCAGTCTCTGTTTCTTAGACTTCTCAGGGAAAACCTTAAAGTACAGCGTAGACGACTCTGTATTGATTGTACATTTTCGTGAACATTGACTTTAAAAATATATAGAACTGCATTACGTTTTGCTATGACATTGTAAAAAATGATATTGTACTCAATGAAATGATACTACGCACCCGCCCGTCTCAGCATTGCGCACTCCAACTCCGGTTTTCTGCATCGTTTCTTTTCTCCGCAAAACACAATTACCATTTTACCATAATTTTTCACAACGTCAGCAATACTTATAGACATGCAAATTTTGATTTAAATTTAACTTAGAGTGACCACAGTAAATCCGTGAAACACTAATTACTAAATAGTACAAAATAGTGCTAGTTAAACAATAGAAGACAATGGAATTTGCATGAAATTGTGCTATTTAGTATTACTAAAGTTTCACGGATTTACTGTGGCTTTTTTGATAGTGAGAAATCAATTTTATTGGTTTACATTTCGCTTAAAGTTTATTTAGGACCATACCTCCAGACATCGAGTGCCGAAGCGCAGTATGGCAGCGCGAAGCATTTACGGCTATGCCGGAGATTTCGGCCCCGACACCGCTATCCAATGACTGATCAGGAAGCTCGGCCGAAGCCTAAGGGAGAGGTTAGTCGGCCCCTAGACCGTAGATGATGAACCCCTTTTTGTTTTAGCTTCGCACCAGTGTCCCAAGATGTGCAAAAGGGACAGCATGGTGGTCTTTAGCAAGGGGGGGTCCTACATGGACGCCAGAGACACGCCGGGGTAATGAGCCCCGCCCCCCATGTAGACCTACACACTACAGATTACTACAATAAACACTAATACAAAAAGATAATCAAAACATCATTTATATATAGAGTATCATCCTGGTCTACCTAGGATTATACTC